ATCCATATTTGCATAACATGCATATATTTATATGTATGTTCTGTTATAAAACAATTGTATTTCTTTCTGCTTGGCCGCGTTAGCCACTTGAGCATTCTTTTGCAGCTAAATTCCTTGCGGTGACATAGACTGCTTACGCGAACTACGGGGATTGCTGTGCAGACGAGACGATCTATACGTGCCTACGCGAAACTGCGCCACGACTACGCCCTGCAGGCGGCCAAGAGGCTGTGCGAGCACTCTTGCAGCATCACTTCCATCATAGCCCTTACATACCGTAAAAAACGCCGCTCACTTACTTGGTTCGTGGCCAGCAGGGCTGTCACTCGACGAGGTTGCCTGTGTCTTTGCTTGCACATGTTGCTTGCAAAGCTTACGTGAAGTGACAAGGACCAACAGCGACGGAGTCCACCTGTGTCTGCTACCTTTTTACCTGAAAACAATGTGGGCAATCTGTAGGCTTCTGGCATCCTCGCACCAGGCAGTCGCTTTGGACCTTCGTGACGGAATCAGCCCAGGCGAATGCAAAGGGCATCAAAGGGCTGCGCTGGTTTTCTTCACGTGCGGCCAAGATGCGTTCGAAAAGCAGATGCGGCGACGAGATGTGATGAGATGTGAGAAGCTTTGAGAAACAACTGGCCTCACCCTGGAGTATGTGTGTCCCCACAAACATCCCTGGACATTTTTGCATAGGAATCTGTGCTGGTGCATATGGCCCCCATGAAATGATCTGGTTCAAGGCCCGAGCATGCAACATGATTTCGTGCGCTCTACCCCTGCACGGACAAGAACATGTTTGCCTGAATTCTGAATGTGCACACTTAGGTGCGGCGAGGGTCATGCTCGAGCCTGACGGCAACGGCGACCAGAACCCATCCCAGCTCGATGGAGCAAGTTGCTGTTGTTGCGCTGTGGGGTTCCTACAATCGAAAGGTACTCCAGGGCCGTCTAGGAATAGCTACCTCATGCCGACAGCTGTAGACAAAGCGATGCTGTAGGCATTCGAAACCGCCTGCCCTGCTTGAGACCTCTTGTGGCCATGACTTTGAACAAGCCTCCAACAACACACAAAGCCGACTTAACTTGGTGCATGTCCTCAAGCGTGAGGGTGAAGGCAAACACGTCGTAGTACTCCCGGAAGCACTGCGTGCATACTTCCCCTGCGGAACAGTTAGCCGCATGTCTAGGTACCTTATGCCACAGGAGAGGGTCTGTGCTAAAATGTTTCGTGGCATCCAATAAGGCTATGGACTTGGGATGGTCGCTTCTAAAGGGTCACTCGAATCAAATTTGGAAGGCAAGCACGCGTGATGTAGCTGTCATAGCGTTCGCAGATGGAAGCACTGACAAGGACAAGGTTCCAAGCCTGCCGGCTCCAGCAATGACCGGAAGTCCTTGGAATTATAAAGTCATTTATTGTTTTGCATTGAGAGGCAGCAAAGCGGATCGCTCAAAGCCACGGCCTTGCGGGACTTGACTTAGAGATTGGCATGTTGATCAGTGATGGTCAGGGACCCGGACATGCTCGATGCAGCTTGAAGTGACCGCCACCTTCGAAGTTGGATTTTGCAGACGCGGCACAGCATGGAGCTGACTCTGTGTCTGCAAGAATAAAATCAGCTGCCCTCCGGCGGCCTTCACGCACCAGGATGACAGCAAATCAAAGTCAATCCTGCAAAGGCTCACTCCAAGGATGCAGTCCACTGCTGTGCACGCGTGCCATGCTGGTAAGCTCGCAGCAGAAGAGGGCGCCCTCTTTTTCGAAGGATGTTCGGCATCTGCTGTGTTCAACTCAAGCTCTCTCCCCCCCAAAAGCAGGAACAAAGAAAGTCTATTTTACTGGAAAGGGTTCAAGGTTGCGGATTCATTTAGTACTTGGAGATTCATGGTGGAAGCAGGAATCAAAGAAAGTCTGCTAATTGAGTATCGGCGGGAATGGGCACATGTTACGGTGACCCAAACACACTTTTACTTATAAATGAGTTACCAGCCTCTTAAGGCCAAAGTTTGGTTATAAGTACAGTTCTGATTAGATTCTGATTGCCTGGCGCGTGAAATTAGGGAATGAATGGGAATGGAAAAATCATACGGGAGCAGCATGAAGAAAGTATCCGAACAGCCGTCTGCCTTCAGGTCATTGTGGAACGCATGCTTTGCCACAGTTTGCACGGCCTGGCATGCCCAACAGCGCTTGACCAAGCAGTAAGTCCACAGCCAGATCACTCCATCCACACCACGAAAGTCCGGCTTGCGAGGCCTGTAAGATGTCATCGGTGTCTGTTGCGGACCAGTCCTGCGGACGGTACTTGTAAGCTAGGAAGCAAGCTTTCAGCTAACCACGTGACACAGGGTCCTCACCAACGGGGCGGAGCCTCTCCATAAAAATCAGCGTGCCTCGCGAGCTCTTGGCAAAATCTGGTTTGAGGGGCCTCTGTATCTGCTGAAAGTCTGTTGCAGCGCCGGAAGCAGGTAGAACGCCGCCATGCCTCTGAAGTGTCCACCCATCTCTTGCTGGACGCGGCCATGCCCAAAAATCGCTGGGCCTAAGAAACAGCTGGCAGCCAGGCTCATGTCTTTAGATAGCACCCAATAAATCTGCTATGCTTGCAAGCCCCAACCAAGGAGCTACTAGCCCTCGCCTGTCAAACTCCGTGCAGGAAGCATACTGTATGTCGCAGTCTCTCTTGCGTCATCTCAGCCAAGCGCCAAAGCCGTGAAGGTCTGCGAGGAGTCCGTTTTGGACCGCTGCCCTGCCGAACAAAAAGTCTGGTCTGACGCAGGCATGCAAGAAGTGGTGCCACTGATTCTGGCTTGCAAGCTGCAGAACACCCTTGCCCATCGCTGGGATTCCCGACCTGTGTACCCAGGGTCGCTCGCTTTCGCTGATGAGCTTTGCGGCAACACCGCCCAGCCTGAGTTCTGAAGAGCCCCGGAGCAGCTGCACAGGAGTTGGCGCAAACGTGAAAACATGTGAAAACACCAATTGGAGGAGCAACGTTTCGACTAACACCTAATTGAGACTCGTGCCCGAACACTTTGGAGAAGCTGCCCTCGCCGAGCAGTTCAACATCCTGCGGATGGATGTTGATCCATGAGGTCCTGGAATGTACCAAGTCCGACCTGACTGAGGCTCATACCTGGACCTCTTCCCCCTCCCGTGTCGCATATCTCGTGATGTCAAGAACGTGAAGGAGAATGTGACCTGAGACTGCAGCATCAGGCATCGCCGTCATCGCCGTTTCAGGTGATGCGAGGTGCCGCGCACCACAAGGCGCACTGCATCTATGTGAGTGGCGTGAAAGGCTTGTCTGCTATCCCAGCTGCGGATGGTCTTCACCGCGTCCACTCGGCCAGGGAAGTGTCTGTAGAAGGCCTTGCGTCTTGGCCAGGCTCCAAGCAGGACTTACAAGGAATCTGAAAAGTTCTCTGCTGGCACTAGTGGACAAGGTTACCAAAGTTCAGAAAGCACGACAGCACGGAAACTCTTCTCAGCAACTAGGCGGATACCCCAGCTTAGAATGATGCATCTGCCGTGAATTTTCCCCAGCAGCCGCGTAGCAGCCTGAGATCAACGCATGTCATACATTAGCTGTCGACAAGCCGCGCCAAACAAGCCAATGATTCGTACAAGCGTCCAGCATCCAGCACATAGCGCATGAAGTATCCGCAAGCAGCTCTAAATCTCGATTGCTCCTCCCCCGTGTCATGTCTTGGGTGCCGGCCCCTTGGTTGTATTCAAGACCTGCCCACAGGAAACGTAACAACGAAGAAGAGTTTAACAAGCACAGTAGTGCAGTGCTTTTCCGGTCTCACTGCCTCCACTTGCTCATCTAAAGCTCACGTTTGCTGTCATGAGCTGCCCTCCAAGCTTGCTTGGCAAGCTGAGGGTCACGTACCGATTGACATCCGCTTCGCAGTTATGACTCAGAGAGGAAGATTCTGCAAACATGGTTTTGCCCGGGCCCAGGCTAAACACGCTCCTACTTGCTCATGACACCAGAGGTTTTGGTGCAAGTGGCGAGCTGCGCGCATATGAGTCGTAGTGTTGGTATGTTGTCAGCAGAGGACTGTGCCCTCCCTCCTGAGACATCTCCGCAAGGCAAGTGCCAAGTCTGGTAACTTAAAAGTACATACGTACAAGCACTTTGGCCGCGAGGGCGGTGTCTAAGCAAAAGCACGGCTAGCCCCAACGCACATCAATACGGCAAGCAAAGGCTAAGTTCATTAACATCGCTGCATCCTCTTCACCGGAGTCTGTGCGGGCAGGATGCAGTACTCCCCCATCCTGCTAGCTGACAGAGTTGGACAACTGCACATGCCAAGCGCTCATGTACGAAGGTGCAAACAGCACCAGCTGCATGATCTCAAGTGTGAAGTCTGGGCATCTACATAGGCCAAAGCTGCTCGATTTTAGCTTGCCAGTCGGTGAGTCTTACAACTGACCTCGTGATTTTCTCCAGCGATTCGCCGAACTTCTTCCAAATCTGAAGACGTTACAGCACGATTTCCATGGGTGACCACTACCATGTCAATGCCATCAGGCGCAACAAGACTCAAGTCATCTCAAGTTTCACCGGTTTTCAGGGTGAACGAAAAACTTTGGAATCTTTCCAGGCGCCTGTGAGAAGGCCACGCCGCCATCAGCATTCAAACTCTGTGGAAAGCTACGCTTTGCTTCCTTGCATGGCTGGCTATCCGCTCGAGGTCCCTCCAAGTGGATATTTCACGAAAACACTATGAGGAATGCGACCGCTGAAAGATACACCGCCGGCCGGTTGACGACGCATGAAGTATGCAACAATCAGAAACGACAAGAGAGGATACTAGAGCACCTGCACAGCCCCGGAGCAAAGCTTCAATTCCCCTTCAGAATTCTTAAGGCCGCACTTCATGCAAACCAGCCTCTCTGACGTACGCACATCAGTTCGGAGTGAACTGACCCCCTGGACACAAATTGAGCTTTCAATGTATGCAGGGTGAGGGCTCCTGGGCTCCTCGCTTCACTTGCCTGATGCCATGGCCAAGCTTTCCTGCACATTTGGCAGTTGCAGTAGCGCCTCTTTAAGGATATGATATGCTCGACTTGTCAAGAGCGCATCTCACCATGCAAACTTGAGAAGGGGGTCCTGCTCCAAAGCTTGGATCCAATACTTGGCCTGCAAGAGGTTAGAGCTGACAGCAAGCATGACAATGAAAGTGCGGCTGGCTGAAAACCTAGCAAAGCCCCTGTGACATGTCTGGACATATGGCTGCAGGTGGCTGAATCTTAACCAACAAAAAGTCAACAACATTGCGAAAACGGCACTGAATCGTGGATCATCTCCATCCTTCCGGTCCTGCCTTAGGCCATGACGCAGGCGCAATCCAATTGGCGGCGCTAGCAGATTCATCAACATCTGCACTGAGGTGGTAGGCCTCCCAGTGGCATAGACTAAGGTGACCGTGGCAAGGGGCGCGAGTTGCCATCAGATACTGACATTCTCTTATCTACAATATGTTCATATTGTACATGATCTTATAAGCTCTTGTTCTTCTTCTACGGGCTACACCTACTAGTAGCCCTTGCGGGGCAGACTGGGGCTGCAATTCATAGCCCAAGACTGTCCTTTGATGCTCAGTCGGGACTGGCAAGGACAGGCGTATTGCCAAATCCTCTTCTCCCCAAGGTCCCCATGCTCCGTGCTCCCCTGTCCCTAAGGAGCTTGCATATGCTTGCATTACATAACCCGTCTCGCTCCCTACCTCGCATACGCAGGACCCCTGTCAAACGCTCAAACCTGCCTTGCGAGGCAACATGACTATATAACCTAACTACGTATATAATTATGTACATATGTACCTATATGTATCTATATACAAATATATAGAGAGAGCTGTACAACTTCTTTTCACAGCCTGCCCATCATGCAGTTCACTCTTGTGGCCATTGGCAATGCCGAGCTTTCAATGGCTTGCCTTGTGCTTCCCACCCGCAGTGACCAATGTGAAAGCATTGCCATTGCCCTGCACCTTGACTCAACACAGGGGGTGGATTTCAGGTGTGTATTTAGGGCTGGGATGGGCTGGGATTTAGGGATTTTTTGGGACAGATAGGGGTATCGGGTAATTTTTGTGCCTGCATGCAGCCCGCCTTCACTCCGGCCAGTGGGAGGACACCTAAAGGTTCGGAAGATACGAAGGTGGGACCATGCCACCACATGAGGTGACCGCCTGCCAAGCGCACCAGAAACAGGCTTGCTTGTAGAAATGTGCCCTTGAGCATATGGACAAGGATTCTTTCCCCGTGAGAGATAAGGGCCAAATCTCAGCTAAACCAGCTCTTCAGGCACGCACATCAAATACGCGCTATGAATGCTAGCCTGTTCGATGTCGTTAGAACTGCGTTTTGCCCCTTGATGAGGTGCTCTGCCTTTCACTTCCATCCAGCGTAGCTGCCAGCGCCCATGCCAAGCACCTTGCAGTCGCAATGCATTATGCACTGAAAGGAATCATTGCTTGAAGCCTGCCTAAGTTAAAGGCCCAAAGCTAACCGAGGCGCTGGATTGCTTCAGCAGAGGCCCAGAAATTCTGTGCTGAAGTCCCGGGAAATGTGGGACACTACCTTTGGGAGTATCATCTTCACTTTGGGCATCGTCTGGCTGTTCCTGGCGGCAGCAAGAACTCGACCCTCGGCATATGAGTGTTGCATGGCAAAGCTTCAGGCAAGAAAGCTGCACGCCTCCTGAGCAGGTGTCACAGGGCTATCAGCAGCAGTAGAGTTGCAGCTCACTGCCTGGGCTGAGCATCAATAGCCCTTCTGAGTCCCGACTGGCTTGGATCAATGGCAAGGGCGAGACACCGTATCTTTTGCGGCGCTATCTGGTTCTTCCGCCTTTGTGGGTCGTTCCCGCACAGGCGTGCTTGCGCGGGAGACCTGCTCGGCCTGCTAGCCGCATGATGAAAACATCCATCGTTGCTATTTATTATGATTATTATTAGTGCTATTGTTATTAGTATTTCAGTCTTAAGACGTCCACTCACATTCAAGCAATGCCCAAGCAGACTCTCAGTACTTCTGACTCTGCAGGTGCCTCTGCTCTGAGATAGCCGCCGCTGGGAGCAGCAACTTGATCTGGAAGCAGGGAAGCCTCCAAATGCAAAGCAAACCAGGGTCCTGGATTGAGCAGACCTTGCCACAGAAATCCCCTAGACTAGGAGTACTCCCCCGTCAGAATCTAGTCGCCAACGCATTGCCTGGGTAGTCTTCACTGTTCGTCTGCGGCTCAACCAAGACGGGTCCTGCCCCAAGAGCTGTCCCAGTCCCCACGTGCTTCTGCTTGCCCTTGACTCTTGTAAACTGCTGAGTGCGCGGCTGGGCCAAAGAGTGCCCAATTCAGAGGCCCACCCACTTTGTGAACCAGCGAAACCACTTCTGTTAGCGGTCGCCCGGCCCATTCAGAGACAAGATTTGCAGGGAGCCCAGAACCTGGAAAAGACAACTCTTCACGTGCTGCAGTTCTCATGCTGCGCACTCGTTTAGGGCAAACGATTCAGCAAAAGCGGCGCAGACCAGTGCTCCGCCGCCGAAGTGTCTGCAGCTCAGACGCACGTTCCAGCTTCTCCTCCTGAAGCGCCTGAGACACCCAAGAGGCTTCTCCAACTTGACCGAAGCCTGCATCCTCTGCATCCTCTGCCGCCATGCCTTCTGGAAAGCTTCCACAGAAAAGACCTTAGGCTCTCTGCTGAGTCCAGCGGCTTCGCCTGTTTGTTGGTTGCAACTAAGCTGCTGAAGGCGAGCCAGCATCTCTTCCAAGGACGTCATCATCTACCACGGCCGCGCGCCGAACCTGCATGCGTCCATTGCAATTGTCGTGATGTTTCGCCCCAAATCTTGCTGACACAGTTTCATAATTGATTCTTTGTGGGCATGATCAGCCAAGAACATTGCTTTCAAGCTATGGCCCACAGCACATCTGCCCCGGCGCGCCCTCTCCACAACGTTGGCCAAGGTGAGATCAGCAGGATGTAGGATTTCCATAGTGACGGAGATGCTTGCAAACTGGCTGAATACCTGCCAGAAACAGAAGTGCATCAGGCAAGCGAATCTCCAGCAACACGGAGCAGACTTCCTTCTATGCCGCCCCAGCTAAGGCTGAACGCTGTGGCCTCTTCCATCTTTGGCCTCTCGGCAGATAGCTTACCACGGGCAACTACTGGAACCTTCTCCTCAGCTCTGTCATCACATGGCCAGAACGATGGCGGTGTTGCCACTTGTAGCGAGATGCGCCATTGGCGTGAATGAAGACATACTTCGTCCGGCGCAAGCGACCCTCGCCAAACCCCAATCGGAGCAGACCAAAGAGAACATCAGAGCTGTGCTCTTCGTAGCCTCGTATGTGTCTGCACATGTCCCAGAAAGATTGGCGGAATTGGACTTTTGCGTGAGGCTGCGGCAGGCTTTCATCTCATCCAGGCTACCAGTGCCACCCCCTACAATCTGTAAATCGACGTGATCGGCCCGGAAGAAGGCCCAGTTCCAGGCCTCACACTATCAAGCAAACCATGTGCCCACATCTCGCAGAACTTCCCTGGCTTATCACGCTGCAGGCTCTCAAGCTTTCTTGTCACCATCAGCCTGCAATCTGAGAACCAAGCACCCAAAGGCTCTCCGACGGCTTTTAAGGCATCCCGGCCGTTGCGCCAGCCGCCAAGGGATGTCTGATAGCCGCCTGTCCTTTGCAAGCTTGCATGCTGCCACGGGTGGTGGCTTTAAGAAATTCCGCCTCCCACAATAGACTCCAACATGGGACGGTTTTTTTTTTTTTTTTTTT